CTGTGAGAGAGGCAGAGTGAAGGGGAAGGTGTTAAACACAGGGAAAAGCTCAAGAATGAGGCTGTCCTTGACGACAGAAAGGACACACATTGGAAGGATGGGGTGGATGAGCGCATGGAAGACCTAACTGAGCATTCGCCAGAATAAGGGAAGAACGCCCCCCACAAAAGAGCATGCATTCAGCATAGCGTCCGTGGCCACAAAATGGATATATAGTGTCCGGATGAGGAGGGTGCCTGCAGTCAGGAACGGAGGGACAATCCTGTACACACATGGATGCAGAAACCATCTCGTGGTAGTGATTGTGACAAAGATGATGGCGAGTACACCCAAACAGTGTCTGTGGCTGCGCAAAGGAGAAGGTCACACAGTGTCTGTACATTGTACTGCTGCACYACGGTGCCAGAGGAATGATCTTCAACATAAAGGAGGTTGCGGACAGTTTGATGTGGCAAGAGAACAGCATCATAGAGTAAGAAATCAGTAATATCAATCATGGCATGGACCATGACACCGTCGTTCCACACCTCCCAATGGTCAGAGGCGTGTACAATAGCCATGTAATGGCCAGGCCCATGCACAATGCAGGCAGAGATGCGGGATGGAGGATTAAACACCTCACCTGGTAGAGCATGGCATAGTTCAAGCTGGCGGTTCCTCATCGCTTTTTCTAGGACAGCAATGGTAAAACCTCCTTCCCTGGTGTAATTACGATGCTCTGGCTGTAGGTCGGGGGGATCAGCGAGATTAGCGAGATCAACATCAAGCTGCAGGGCAATTGCAAGGAAATTTGATGGTGTATACAACGGCCGATTGAGAACGCGAAGAGAGCTATTAGTTGCCGTCAGACCACAGAGATTGGCGGGGATCTCAGGCTGATTTTGTTGGTCAGTCATTTGTAGATCACCCGTGGGGTCTGCGCAGGGTGGTGCACAAGTATGTGGTTCATCCATATGATCCTGGTCAGCCATTTGCAAATCCCTCGTGGGGTCTACGCCATGCGGGATTAAATGCAGTCCAAGCGGATCACGTTCCAGTCCCTCAGCGTTCGGGGCCACATCGTGAGCAGGGACTGTCGTTGGGAGTGTACTCTGGGAAGGGACCATATCCTGTTGCACAGCTGGGGATATATATATATATCGTCAAATAGAACTGCTCGGTAAACCGTAGGCAGAGAGGGAGAAGAGGACAACAAACGAGGGGCTGTGACAAACTGTTTCGTCGGAGTGTATATATATATATATATATATATATATATATATTGTGACGATATATATAATATTATATATATATATATATATATATATTTGTGGTCGTCATCTTTTGGGAAGATATATGGCTCTCCCCATCAACAGGAGCACCTCGCACACCCCCTCGATACGCCTCACCTTCCCCCCCTCTTTGTGTGTCAAGCACCATGACAATCTCCATTCAACACCCCTTCAAGGTAGGTTGTATCCTATTGCATAATCCACTTCCACAGTTCCACTACATAATCATTATCCATTCTCCATCGGGGTTCAAATCCTGCCTACGTCATGAAAAGTGCAAATTCCCATTATACGTTTTCCGCTCCTGCTTCAGTTTACCCACTTCTGCAGGGTAGTCTGGGCGCCTGTCGCATACCGTAACGGTGCAGACCAGAACAAGAACCGACCTCTCTCACAAAGTACAAGATAGCGTAGCGGAAGACTTAGATAACAATGATCCGAACAATCAATGTTGCAATGCAGCC